TGTATGAGCGTACAATGTGTCTTTAAGCCAGACTGATGAAGGGTGCCTCAGGTGCATCCTGTCGGGTTGAAACTTGGGCGGCATTTTGGAATCCAAATGCAAGCTGGGTGAGTGTGAGGTAGTGATGTGAAAGAGTCTCTTGCGTGCTTCATGCACACCCCACGATAAGTCATAAACATACATGCAAGGCTAATATGGTGCGATCAAACACGTGGCGGGAAACTTTCCGGTCAACCTAATAGAATGCGTGCAGTATCCCAAAGAGGGATTGATTAACGGCGAGTATTTCAGACTTTTATTTTATAAAGCGCACCTTCGCCTTGAAGAGTACTTTTGTTCTTCTTGTCTATGCGAGTGATCAGTTAAGAACAATAAGTGCTTAAAGGCAGTTAAAAGATAAAGCATGAAGTTTCTGCCGTTGGACGCACTCCTTTTGAGAAGTGACCAATGGCCAAATCTTAAATGGGGTGTGAAGTATACAATGACTTGCGGGAGCAGCCAATGTACAAGTCAGTGCTCACATCCTCCCAGAGGAATCTGGAACCAGTTTACCGTCCACAGAGCGTAGAAGGCTTATTGGCCTGAATGGGAGCCAATCCGGCATTTGACATCCGCAACCCGTGCGTGTTAAGCGCGCCACCTGCCACTACACCACCTCCGCCCTTGAAGGTAATTATAGGACCAAAAGCGCAAAAATACTAAAAAATCAGTTGCCTTGTCTACCTTAGAAAATAGTGCAATTTGAATACTCGCGTTAATGACAAACATTTTTAAAAGTACAAATTCGTAAAAAATAATGCCGAATAATTCAAACGTACCGCCTCATCTCCCCAGGGTATGATCTGATGACCGTGAATGAGACCAATGCGGAATTGTCCTACGGTTACCACTTTTGTGTCAGGATACTTCAACGATTCATCATCAAATTCACCACGTACCACATGAACATCAGGAGAAAGCGTTCTAGAATAAGCAGTACTGGCTAGAGTTCGAAGAGTAGCACAGAAGAGTTCAGAGCAAGTTCAGGACGGCCATTTCCATAAGCAAGGTGGGTTTATAACTCATATTTCCACACAAGAGGTGAATGGGCCCACATCTGCGTAACGTGCCACTTATACCGGCAAGAGCGCACAGAAACAAAGCTGCAGAGTTCAGAGCTACCCAAGTGCTGTTTCCACACTCCGCCCGTGCTTTCCCTGTTGAGCAGCATTTGCGGTGAAATCAAAATCTCGCAGCGAACACGCAGTCAGAGATGAAGAATAAGCAGAAGGCGCTGACCAAAAACGCGTTTGATTATGATTAGGCGTACGGCTGGTCGTGCGATTAATAAACGGGGAAATGGGGCTACCCTCCAGCCCCGTTTCCGTGCCATTGGGCCGGAGCATGTGGCACGCCATAGCTGGTGGACCATAGTCCACTCACGGTAAGGTCCAGGATCCACGGAAGTGAGTGTATAATGTGTCTTCGAAAGAGTCAGGGTTTTTTTGTAACACATCTAGTGTGCCATGGGCCGGCCACCAGGTAAACGGCAGACCTCTTTACCTCTAATGGATTTCCGCTTTGCCACAATAAGACTACAATGGCTAACAAGTACTCCCTGCATGCTACACAGACATCAATAGAGAAATTTCCGAAGATCTTACCTCAAGTAATCGACACTTTCACGAGTGCACAAGGTTTCCAGTACAGAGTACATGCTGCATTTTGTTTGGCACAAGTAGTTTACGGAATTTCGCTGAGAGGTTGTACTCCCGATGAGGGATGTGCAGATCACCGATTAGCAGCACTAACTGAACAACAAATATGAGCAAAGGTTGGTTTGGGGACATCACATCCAGCACTGCGGCGCCTATACCAGTATTTTTCTGATGAATTCGTGCCATGCTGAACCAATATCACGTTAAATTCGGGTAGGACCTTACTCATGACGCGCGCTGGTGTGATACTGAATCAGTTCCACGTTAAAATCAGGCAGGACTTTTTTGATTCCCTGGCGCGTAACGTACTGTCGAGTCACAGAGAGCATGACGATAGAAGTGTTGCACAGATATGAGACGGCTGTAGACGTAAAGCTGAGGTCCCGCAAGCACACGAACTGCTGAAGTCGCATTTCGACCAGCTAGGACCCATGTAATGAACGTGGACAGATACTGTCTTCGGATGTCGACTCCAGGCGTGTCTTGCTCTCACTTATTGTTCGATGCTTGGAGGGGCGTCAGGGAAGGCTAGGTTGGCGCTTGCAGCAGCCACGTTTCCAGCAGGTCACCACTTCCTCCCCCCCCCCCTCTGCCACAGCACCCACTGCGCACAAGACTGTACACCAAACAGCTAAGAAAGCGTGCACTAGCGCGACGCAGAGGTGACTCTTTATACCCATGCCGCGTATATGACGTCGCTTACGACACCGTCTTCGCCGCAACGTGGATGTAATGTCCCCACTGCCGAATATAGGTACCTGGTAAATTTCTAACTTTTACCATTTTCAAGAGCTCGATATCGCCCTTCCCGTTCCTCAATCGGTATAACACAGATCTGAACATGCGAACAATTGAATTTTGAGAACTGAGTGCGAAAAACGTCATTTTCTTCCTTTATCTGATCCAAAGACTTCACTAGAAATAATCTAGCGTGTCAAACGCTTCTCGTCGAAAACAATACAAAAATTCATTCATATACTTCAACTCTTATTTAAATTGTAATAACAGAAACAATAGAAAAGAAAGTAATAACAGAAATACTCAACAACATGGCTCAAAGCCTTTCTTGTTACAACAGACATATCAAATTCTCTCCATAAACAGTGCAGTAACATCAACAAAATAATCAACTCGTAGGGTACACGTTGAGATTCCAAGACACGTAATTCTTCGGAAGACAAAAATAGGACAACTAAGCATAGAAAACCTAGCGACTATATATGAGACGGTAACAGAAAAGGAAAAGAGAAAATGGCATAATTGGTCCATAGGACATGAAAATCTATTAAGCCATTACAGAAAAACCTTTCTCGCTGTATCCCATGTTATCCAGCCACTTCTTTATCGTCTCTGTGCAACTGAAATACCCTTTATTAAGGCTACGGCTCGAAAAATTACGGCCAAGATTCTTCACCCTTCACTGGAAACCGGCCGGCACTGACTCCAGAGCACCTCAGAAGGCCAAATTTTGTAATACTGTAATAGAATGTCCGCAGGGATAATTCGATCTCCTGGATACAAATATCAGATAAGCTTGAAGTCAATCGTAGCGCCGGCCTCGCAGACAAAAGCGCCAGGAATCAGTTTAGCGGCAGAGTTCATAAGCCACGTACCGTCTTGCTCGCTGCGCATGGGCGTGTCAGTGAGGCTGGGTCTGGTGCTTCACCAGCCCAGTGTCAACTAGTTGAAGCGCGCCAGCGAGAACTATTGGTGGAAAACGACTGGTACGGATGATATGACACAGTCATGTCGGAATAGTCCATGATCGACTTTCTTGCAATCTTGGCTTATCTATATCGCTCTTGCATTTCTTCTAACCTTTCTAAGATTGAGCAACTTTACTAAGGTTTACGTTTCGGCGTCTTCGCCTTCGTCAGAGCCTGAAATGGTCAAAAAACATTTCGAGACCTGCTCGCTCAAACATTTCAACAATACTCAAGACGATTTCCACATACCAGTAAATCACCCAACGGTATCGATCTAGGGCGGAACGCTGGCTTACCTTGATCTTGGCCGCGTGACGCTTGAGCCTCTAGAGGGTGGTCGTCCCCGTGTCACGCGTCCAAGATCAAGGTAAGCCAGCGTTCCGCCCTAGATCGATACCGTTGGGTGATTTACTGGTATGTGGAAATCGTCTTGAGTATCGAACAGGTCTCGAAATGTTTTTTGACCATTTCAGGCTCTGACGAAGGCGAAGACGCCGAAACGTAGGCCTTTAATAAAGTTGCTCAATCTTGGAAAGGTTAGAAGAAATACAATGACGATATACAGTCTTATCGCTTGCCGAAAGGAAAAAGAATAGAAACGGACTGGCGCAGTGTCAAATTCACCCCCCCCCCCATTATCCGCAATGCACTGGTTTCGCTCCAAGCGAACATGAGATTTGTTTCAAGGGATCAAACAACGCCGAAGAGGACTTTTCACTAAGTTCGGTGTTCTGAGGCGCTCGCACTCTGCATCCAAAGAATGTAACAGTCGTGTTCAAGAGCTCACACCACTCCCACCCTCGGCCACAAATTTAAGAAAACCGAAGAAAGCTGAACTCAAAATCTGGCCTGTGTTCCGAAGAACGGGTTAGTAAAGGGTTAATTTCGAAGCAAAGCAAGTACCAAACAATGTTGCCGTCACGGCTTTTTGGATCTCGTGCAACAAGCCTCGTTTCCACTGCAGCTTTGATAACACATTCTGACTTAAAGCCAAATTCTTGATAAACAATGCCGCGAGCCCAGTAAATCTAGGAAAAGGAAATTGTTCATAGGAAAAAGCCGTTAAAATAGACTCTGATTCACAAACCGTCCCATTAGCGCCAATCTCATGAGCGAACCCATTCAGGCGAAGTATATGATAATCTTCTTTTGTCACTAGAGTAGGATCCACCATCTCAAGCAAGGCTACATCTCCCAGAAAAGGACTGAAAGAGAAGATATTCCAAAACCAAACATCTGATGCTACCTATCACTGCCGTAAGGTTCACTGCATTAAACGGAAAAGCACTTTGAGCAAAACCAGAAGAACGACATCACTCAAACTTACCGTTGATTGTTGTTTTTATCGTCATGGCCCTTCTTCGCCGACCTGCAAAAGGACATCAAGTAATGGACAGGAAGTGCATATGCACTCACAAGATTAGCAACGGAAGAAGGAACTAAGAGAGAGTCCAACCCCACAAGGCAAAACATCATAAGCTGCAAAAGCATTTTTCGTGAGCAGCCATCGACAACGCTGAAGGCTGGGGATTGAAAGCGGAGGAAACGCATGGCATCTGAGTTACGAAATAAGCAGAGGAGAACATCGCAAATGCCTAAGGTCCCTTTTAATGGCAAGGGAGAGAGAGGCGATTGATTGCGAGGATTTTTAGCCACAAAAGCCATGAAAGAGCATAAAAACGAGCGAAACATAAGCTCAAACGCCGGCGGGGTCACTCGTGCTCCGGAGGAGCCATATGAGCAACACTGTGCCTTAGCACCCTTATCTTACCTTTTTTGACACAAAACCAGGACAAGGTTGTCCACTGCGGCTCACACTACACTATCTTTCCTCACACAGAGCTGTGATCTGATAAGTAATCACAAAATGTGTTTATGTAACATTGAAAATGGGGGCGGCCACAAAAAAGCTGCTGAACCTGATCATGTAAATAAAATCTCTTCAGCTACATGGGCACTCTAGCAGTACAGATAAAACGTCAGATCTAAAAAACCCATTGCTATCGTTCCAGTCGACAAATCCGAATGGAGAGGAGGTGATCTTTGAAGAACTAGAGTGCTTTCTTAAAGCAGCTTTTGCATGCTGCAGGGGCACTCAATAGTTTATAGAGCAGTTTGGGAACGAGGAAAGGGGGAAATCTAGGGCAAGTTCCCCATAAGAAAGTTTACTGAAGTAAACAAAAGCTGTCTCCATGACGTAGTGCGATATAATGCTCGCTGAAAGACTACGACAAAGGACAAAGTGTCCACTGTTGACCAACACCTTTTTAGGATGCGGCTCACATTCTACTTCTATTGAGAATCGTGGTGGCTCATAGCGGTGTGGCCTATATAATGACTTCCGAGGGCTAGCCGTAGTAAAAGTCAGTGATTTTAGTATCCTCGATGATTTCGAAACCAACTTACTATCCACGAAGGGTAGAAGTTTGGCTGGCCTGGGCGGGAGCCGATCTGAGTTTAACCTCGCACAGCGCGTGTGGTTGTTACTATGCCACCTCCGCGACTGGCGAGTACTTTAAAGTAGTTTCTGCAGCCGAATAAAAGACTCGAGCACACTGATGCCCAGAAAACTGGTCTTCATCTCGTGTGGCCCGAGGGGTGGAATATAGGACACAAAGAATAGGGTTGGCTCGAAATATGGACTATGAAATTGTTAGCAGGCATTCAGTCGGGGACGTCACCACAGCAGAAGAGTGGACCACGTTCATACTGCAAATATGAGGAATTCGCGACCTGGGAGGTTGCGAGGCGATGCGCTAGGAAGAAAGCATAGGTACACATCCGACTACACGGCGATTCAGGAGAATGTGCGGTTCAGGAGAATCAGTGACAAAGGCTAAATAGGAATTGAACAACTCCTTCCAGGAACGATTTTGGGAGTACCTCCGACTCGGAGGGGATTCGGCGAAGAAAAACTAGCTAGAAATCGATTGGCTCTGAATGGTGGATTCTCACGATCGGCAGATTCGCGGGATCGAGAAGTCGTAGACTTTCGATTTGCCAGTTTTATAAAATCTCGAGTTCTCCTCATTTGGAAAAATTGAACGGGGACTCAATGGAAAAGCGAAAGAAAAGAAGGTGGTGTGAGGTGGCTGGACGAGAAAAAAGATGGCCGAAATTCAATCAAAAAGCAAGGCTGGGCATCACACTCACTTATGAGAAGTGTACAGGTATAGCTGGAACGTTCTTGCAACTGTAGTCCCGTCACTCAGACTCCCATAAAACATCGGAGGTAATCCAATTTCACTCCTCTTCTGTGGATAGAGAAACACTCCAAACTCCTAGAAAACAGGTCATCCACGACGTCTCCACGACGTCTATTAGTATTACCAGAAAAAAAATCATAAAAATCAGAAGAAAATGAAAACAACTGAAATATGCAGCACCTGATAGAGTGGTTTGTAGTCGCGTCTACACGAAGCACATTCACTGGTGTGTTTCGTTTTCATCTGATAAATAATGAGTAGTTCTACAACGGCTTCATTGTGATATACTGTTCAAAAAGGACCTACCACATAGCCTGGAACGCAGACATAACGCATCAGCGTTCTGATATGCTCGACAGTCGGGAATGACTTCTGTTTCAGGTCTGGCAAAGAACCCTTCCATACCTCCGCTACATTCTTCGAATAATCATCGACAGGTGAATTATACGATAAGGTTACTTTGCTCGTATCCGATTCATCCACATCGGTGTCAACATAGGACTCCTCACCATCGTCAGACTGGAACAGTTATAAAATAGATAACTTGATCAAGATACAAAGATTGTTCAACAACCTCCCCCCCCCCGTATTCCCTCATTTGCATTTATTAGGCTGACCACTAAATTCTGGCATATTCAAACTCTAGACCCACTAACTCTTAAAATTTGAACAACAACAGCCAGAGGTGGCGGAGCTGGCGTTGTATCAACTGATGCCCTTTCAGGGCCGCCTTTCTATACGACGACCTTGAGGAAATGCGGAGTTGCAAGAAATATAGAAACCGCAGAAACGTTGAAGCGACGAACAAAGACTTAACCTGAAGGGACTGATTGCTTAGCCTCGTCAATAGAAGTATTAGGTCATCCCATTCAAACGTGCCGACATATAGAGGAATGGCAGAAAAGCAAAGGGGATAGAGCAGCGGGCTACTATACCATTTGGAAGCTAGTACCTTAAGCTGTGTATCTGTGAAATTTGGCGAACCTAGCCCCAGAAGAAGTTCTCGAGAAATTGAAAAGAAGCCCGAGTGGTGAAAATCGGCGCCGGTTTTTCAAATCAGACGTCATAAGAGGAAAGTGCGCTGCTCAAATTTGACCTGCGCCGGACCATAGTTGTGTGTAAGGGTGTTCTCGAAATACACGGTGGAAGATTTGGTTCAGGAGCCCGTACAAGGAAGAAAGGAAAAAATTTGTTGTCGTGGATGGTCCCATAATATTCATCCTGCACAAGAAAAACGGGTGGATGAAGTCAGGCACTGAATATCTGATCACAGAGCCTGGACCCTTGTCGAGCTTCCCCGCGAGTCTGACATCCCAGCTGCAACTGCTGCCCGAGTTATGTCCGATAAACTGAGGATGGTCAAGAGGGTGGCGCATGGGTACCTAATTTTCTTATAGAAGCACGAACGCAGTACCGATTCTATACCTCTAGCAGTAATGTTCTCAGCATGAGATGTCACTCACAACTGTGAAAACGCACCCAGGCCTTAGATGAAATATGGGTGGTCTCGGACCTCGAGCCGAAACTCACAATCGTCAATTTTGTATGAATGCAGATGAGAAGCCGCCCGAGTTCTACCATGAAGAGTTACGTGGGCGCAAGTGGATGATCATCATAGCAAAGGATTCCCACACTGTGGCTTTCAAGCGGCTCTATACAGAGAACAAATCCGTCACTGTCGGTGCATATTGCCTGTTCCTCGGCATTCAGATCGACAAATGGATGCTACCACACAACTACAAGAAGGCCACCGTTGCTCGTCATAGTACCAGACCCCGAGTAACTGTATTGTAGATCAGTGCTGGGACACAACAATACTGAGACCTGGGTTCAATCGCCCCATTCGCCCGTCATAAAGCCATGCGATTACAACTGTTCTATTCAGTTGAGAGTACTCTCCGACGGCAGACGCTACAATGTTTTGTCATTTGCCGAAATTGGCAACAGCAATTTACCCACACTTATTGAAAAATCGAAGGTACCAGAGGTCCAAAGGCCCTCGGGGCACTGGGAGCGGGTCATTGGTGAAGGAGGGATTTACTCATCCTAAAGCTAAAATATCACTTTTCTATCTATTCTCCTCTTTGTTTATTCAAAAAAAAAACCTTTGAATGGGACTAATTACAATTCTGAATTCCCATTAGAATTTTCATTTCTTTCACACCGTTACCTACACTTTCCTTTTTCCAGCATTCTCACAATTCCGCTCCTTCCGATCGATAAGCATACTTTCTCTACCTGAACCTGAAATCGGCAAATACGCGATTTCAAGGCACCATGAGTGAACGCGGCCTCCGCACCCCTTTGTCTTTCACACGAATGCCTAGTACCGACGGTTAACGGATAAGTTCCGAACACACCCTAAGCCTACCCGGCGCTACTTATTTCAGGGGGACGATAGGCAGCAGAGCGTCGACGTCCCTACCCTTGCCCAAGGCTCAGCTTTAGCGAAACCTGGACAACTAGAGCCAACATGGCATGAGCGGAGCAAAGGTAGCTACACCGCCCCTGATCCTTCTCTGGTACGTGAGCTACATTACTGCCGCCTCCTTTTCTGCACTCTACCCAAAAGGCCGCTATACTGCGACAGCTGATCAGATCGTGTCTGGAGAACATGTCTCCTTCCACAAAGAGCACATCAAACTAACCAACAACAACTAAAAGACTGAAAATACGATAAGTAGTTCAAATGAAAGGTAAACGAACTTCGATCGAAGACGACTCTGAACCCAAATAAGATCTTAAAGCAGTACACTGTTCCACCGTTAGATTACATAAAGCACCATATTCAGCTAATATTGTAAGTACAGCATAGCATTCTAAGCACGCCTCATTCGAACAGCAGTAGGACACCTGAAAGTAACACGAGCTATGACGAACGTCTGTTCCCAATGAAATATCAGACTAGAATGCAAAAAAACCATTAATAAACTCACAATCGGGGAAGGAAGTGCTGCATCACTTATGAGGTCAATAACAGTATCTTGAATGTCGAACTCCCTTTTCCGGCGTTTCGATTCGGATGATTCTAGCTCATTCTCTTCCTTTTCATCCATGCTCTAGGGAACCACATTTTGCAGAAAAAGGAGGAAAAAAAATAGAACCAAAGCATTTATATCGCACAATAAACGAACTTTTCAACGAGAAGTAAGAAGAATTTATTACTTTTCATCAAGAACTTACATTTTTACAATAGTAACAAATTAGAACGTTATAACAAAGTCATTATGTCTACCTAGCCTATACGTATCTCTCTTAAACAATTTAATCAGCTTTTCTTGGCTTTTCTGCTGCTCTTGGACGATTTTGCACAAATCCTGCAGGTCCTCCCCTGTTTTCAAGAATTCTGCCAAGCGTCTTCGGAAATATGGACATTGCCAAGAATCGTTCACCCATATCACCCATAAGGAAGTTATACGATTCTATAAATAAGGAGAGTAAACTGAACGCTTACTGGCGAGAAATACTGGCCTTGTTCTCGCAAAAAAGTGATAATGTTAACAAGTGTTAGACAAACTTATGAGCAATTCCTGTTTTTCTCGGTCATTGCACGACTTCAATAACTTTCGCAGTCGCAGTTCAGCACCAAGCTGTGCAAGAAATTCGCTAAAAAAAACTAGGCATCAACAGGGGTAGGTAGAAAGCGAGGTATGATTCCTGATTTAGGCGCTATATAACCCTATAATGAGGGGCCAACGTGTAAGCGCTTGTGAGCTTTCCATTCTGTTAAAAGTATACCTGTGAATACAGGACAACCCTGTCGAACCCAGCAGGCCTTGTTATCACCTGTTGAGCTTTGTAAACTCATGTCAAACTTGTCAAATGACTAGCCTTGATTTAGAGAAAAATGGTGAATTGGCGTTCCAATGACGCTCAGTATCATTTCGTCAAGCTTGACAGGACTTTAGTGGGCACTTAACAGGAATGACAAAGACTTGCAGGGTCAGACATGACTGTGAAAAGACATGAAAAACAGACACACAAAGAAGCGGTTTGGA